TATGTGTTTAATTTATTACTCACAGAGCTGAGCCAAATTGTCGCCTGCCTGAATATACTTGGATTTTAGCCTGTACATTTCAGCAACTCAATGGAATTAGGTTATCTCTACTTTCTTGACTTATCACCAATGCACGAAGGTCGATGCCATGTTTGATTATTGATTACACTTGCACGCGCCATCTCGCGGCAACTATAGGCCTAGTGATACATTATGACACAAATATATAAGACAGTCGAGCAGGTATGAAGTAGGATGGATTGTTAGGGTTTAGTTTTAGTGTTAATACCTATGCTACACAGTTTTGATGATGACGTAGCCGGTTTAGCGATAGAACAGGCTTTCAACCTTTTGCAGAAACGAAAGCCAGTACAGTAGAGCAGCAGATGAGCACTGTCGCTGTTGCGGCACTTGTTTTCATTTAACATGTTTAACGTAGAGTTGGGGAAAAATATTCCGCATTATTTGCTGGTGTCATCCCAATTCATACGTGTATGAATAGAGATGTGGCTTCATAGGAAAACAGTTTGTTTTGAATGTTGAACGTGTTGATCAGTGAGTAAATAAATGGAGACAGTTCAGGATCGTAGCCTCTGGGATGGGGGCGAGGGGGGGGCAGCTGCTCTCCTCGATCATAGAAAACTAATAAGATAAAAGCTAATAACTGTAAATTAACCGTAAAATAAGTGGAAATCATCATGTAGTCGTCCGTGAAACCCTCGCTCCCCACACTTGCCCACACCACGCCATGCAGGTCAACTGGAAGCTGCATCTCTCCCTTGTCATTACTGAGCAGACACGAAATTTGGCCTGCCTCCCCCACTAATTTGCACACCGTTTATACTTTTGTTGTAAATGTGATGAGCCCTAGATTATGGTTATTTTAATTTAAAATTCAGGAAATGGAGTGTATGTATTGCAGAAATGTAAACGCATTAAAATATCTTCAATTTACACACAATTCGTATATGCATTCATTTGTTGGTATAGCCTATGCAACTGCTTTCTGTGGTTGGTTGTTTGGTTGTGCTGTCGTTTGCTATATTAATCAGTATATAGATGACATAAACTTGATTGTGGTACTCATGCTCAAGCTATAATAATACGTTACATATGCTTTACTACCCTAGTAATCGTGTAAGTATCAAGAATAAAGATCAAGTCAATGCTAATGAAATCTCATTTGAATCTTTTTCATTCTTAAAGCGGTGCTTTGTTTCAAAGTACACCACAGAGTTGGCATTTGAGCACGCACGTATCTTGCTTGACTTGCAACAATTTCTAGGGAGGCTTGGTCATCTCGTTTAGATTGATGGATCAATTACTAATGATAAGAGAAATAGAAAATTTAGAGGAATTGATAAATGAAAGTGTCAATGACACTGTAGCTCACCTTGGGTGTGATAGAAGAGGGTGGGGGGATATATAAAGCAAGAGTATATATGAGAGAACTCCCATTATATAGCATATCTCCCATTACATACTCTTGATAATGATATATGCATGTTTTGATGCGAAAATAAATGTTTCAGATCTGAAAGTCTGAAATCTTGACGAGAGATGGCGCTACGCCTAAATCATGGCCATTTTGGTTTTCGAATATCGCGCAAATAAAAACAATAAAATATTCCAGTCAAATTACTGTAACGAAGAATCTAAAACACAATATTACACGTATATAGGTATGATTGTAGAGTTGTTGACCAGTTAGAGGAAATAAACGTAATAGGACGTTGTCATCTCTCCCATAGGAGTAACAACTGTTTTGGGGCTAGCCTAGCTCTAGTACTATAGCCCACGTACAGGCCTGCGGCAACTGTACGCGGGCTATAGTACTAGAGCTAGGGCTAGCCTTACACATTCACATACCAAAATTTAACAAAATCGAATGAATTTAGATGGCCATTTTCATTTTTGCCAAAAAGTGGGCGTGGCTCGAAAGTAGGTCAACTGGCGTGCTCCAAAATAGGAAGTTCAAATCTCTCCCATAGGAGTAACAACTGTATTCAATTTGAAACATGTGGGTGAAACGGTTGTTGAGTTATCGTTGACCATAGGCAGACACTGAAATGCATAGTGAAATTGCCAAAATCTACCTAATTTGCATAATTAAAAAAAAAATCTAAACCTGTGTGATATGTTTTGGGACCAGTCCTCATTCATTCACATACCAGAAATGAACAAAATCCATTGAACCTGAACTGACTTATGGCCATTTCCATTTTTGCCAAAAAGTGGACATGGCTCGAAAGTAGGTCGACTGGCGTGCTCCAATATAGGACGTTCAAACCTCTCCCATAGGAGTAACAACTATATGCAATTTGAAAGATGTGGGTCAAACGGTTCTTGAGTTATCGTTGACCATAGCCAAATGTTGACGGACGGACGGACGGATGGGCGGACGTATGACGGACGACACCCCATGGCAATAGCTTATCTTGACGATGTCAAGGCGAGCTAAAAATCACAACAAATGTGTAGGATTTGTTATGACATTTTTCTTACAATAAAATATTTTCACAAACACTTCACTTGTCATGATTTGAAATGCATATACACTGTGACTGTGACTGTCGTGTCACTGACAGTGACACTGTCAGCGACAGCGACACTCCACTTCAGTCCAGACTCCAGGCATTGCAATTGGCATTGGCACGATTTAGGGATTTACTTGCAAATGCAACTTACATTTACAAGTTACATAACCTTATAAAGATTGGTCTTTAAAGTCCAAGGCACTATATCAAAGACATAGAGGGTAAAATTCACACTAAAAATAGGGCCTACACCTTTCAACTAATTTATTTTAAATTGCAGCTAGAATCCAACAACTCAAACACTCGTTGCCCAAAGGCGACAAGAAACGAAAAAAAGACGTGAATGCTGAAGTGGCTAAGTTAGAAGAGGAGTTAAGTGCAAAGCAGCAAAGCCAGCTCGATGCACTGAGAGCTGAAATGCAGGTTTATAACAGCTATTAGAGAGTCACGTCTGCCTTGCGTATGAGATCTAATATTGTTCTGAAGATTGCACTAGCTATATGTATTCACAGGCTGCGTTTTGATGATCTGGTTTCATCCTGGTAGTGTTATTGTGTCTGCATGAACACGTTTGTGTTCCTGCGTCTGTACGCTCATGGTGTTGGCTCACAGGATTTAAATATAAACACTTGTTTGCACATGAGCTTGGTGCAGGTGAAATAGCAAGCATATACACTGTTGGCTAACATGTCAATACAGGTGATAAACACACCTGTTTAGCAGCTCGTCAATGTTTTACCTGGTCGTCGGCAGATTCAAGACGTTGCCAATCTGACGGGAGATCTTTCTGTGAATGATGAGAATTGTCAACCGCCCATTGTTGCCCCTAAGAAGCTCTCCAAAGCACAAAACAAAAGGGTGAGCTATATTACAGAGTAGCGGCTTCATATGTCTGATGGTGTAAGTTGAGTGAATACTCTGGTAAGACATGGACAGGGGGCAGTATACTGTCTCTGTAATGTAGAGTCATATCACAGGCCCTTGGAGGCTCAAGTTTCAAGTTTCAAGTTTCAAGAAGAGTAAAAGAGCGAAGCGGGACCGCTTCGCTCTTTTACTCTTCTTTAAACTTGAGCTTCCAAGGGTCTGTGGTCATATACCCATTTTATGAGGATCTAATAAGTACAACGCCATGCATTACGTAGTGATTGCAAATTATTTTATGTTATTTAGTGTTGAATTTGTTACTTTATCTTTTCCTTATATATGCAGGAGAAAAAGGCAGCTGAAGAGAGAAAGAGGGCTCAGCGTATTGCAGAGCAAGAAAAGGAAAATGCTTTTGGTGTTAGACACATAGAAGGTGAAAAGATGAAAGAATTGCTTCAGTCAAGAAATCGAGCAATACATGAGGTATGTAGAGTTAGGGTTTAGCATTACGTGAGAAATGTGGAGTGAATATATAGCAGCATAGCTTTAGTGTAAAACGAGAAAACCGATACAACACAGATATGCATATCTAAAAACCATACGCATGAGATAAAAAGAGTTCAAGAATTCAAAAATTTCAATTTTTTTTTCCTTTTACAGATTCCTTCTGATGGAAATTGGTAAGTTGCTATTTTATTGTGTTCTTTGCACAGAAGATACACATACACTCTGATTAAAGATGTCTTAGCTGTGTTACATTTGTATGCATGGTTTTGTATTTAATACAGTATTCTATATCCTTTAATACTTTCTATCACCGTGCATGATTGCAGTGACATGTAATTCTACAGGCTCATCAGTATGTGAGTTATGTATGTTGAATTTGCACACAGTTAGTGAGAGCTAGGTGCCAAAACTAAAAAAATGGTAAGGCATTTGTGAAAATGACAATAAATAAATAGAATATAAAATTAAATAATTCACTGTTTTAATACCATTGTTAATTTTTCTCTTACAGTCTGTACAACGCAGTCACACATCAGCTACGGTTGCACGGGATGGAGGTAAGCCTGTGAACTGTAAGATTTCAATCGCCAATTTACATTGTTATAGCTTATGTAGCTTTACACAGCAACCTGATACTGATTCTGAGTGATACGGTGCAGGACCATTGCGGTATAATGCACTGGAAAGAGGGTGGCTGCGGGCATTTACCAGTATAATCGATGGTGAGGCTTTCTGAAGTGTGATGCAACTATTCTGAAGGTCTCAGGTGAGGTGGCTGTTGCCACATTCTCTAGCAGCTGGTTTCAGTCTATTGTTGTTTTTATAAAGGATGATTGACGAAGCATATCGTGTTTCCCGTTTGTTGTCTGGCAGGCGACCATGCAAGATCTAAGAGAGCAGGTGGCCGGGCACATGCGAAGTAATCAGGATGAATTCATGCCGTTTCTTTCAAAGCCAGACACGGGTGATCCGTACACTGAAGGTACGTGCGATCCCGCTCTGTGAGCGAGTGTTGAGAAAATTTGTTGCCGGAAGAAACGTACGCCGCCTAGTTCTTGCAGTAGCGAGGAAGGTGAAGACATGCTTTCTTCTCTGTCTGAAAAGCGATTTAGCTGCTACTGTTTCACTTACTGCGTTAGTTGCTGTGACTACTACTGTTTAGTTACTGTTTACTGCGTTAGTTACTGTGATTTAGTTACTGTTTACTGCGTTAGTTACTGTGATTTAGTTAATGTTTACTGCGTTAGTTACTGTGATTTAGTTACTGTTTACTGCGTTAGTTACTGTGATTTAGTTACTGCGTGTTTCAGAGGAGTTTGACAACTACTGCAGTGAAGTGTCGTCAACACCTGCGTGGGGCGGGCAGCTCGAGGTAGGCTTGATGCAGCTGTTGTTGTAGATGAGCTGTGGGATTGGTGGGATTGGCATATCATACATGTGTTAGCTAGCAGTCACCTTTATAGAACGGAGACACCTGTTGACAAATGACACTTTTGGTGATTCCCTCCAGCGAGAGGTGTACAGAAAAACCGTCTCTATTGAACAGACATGTGTCTATAAAGGACTCTATTGGCTTTTCCCTTTAGCGAGAGTTGTACAGTAAAACCACCTCTTAAAGGAGCACCTGTCTATAATGGACACTTGTGGCTTTTGCCTTCCACCTGCGCAGTGAATAAACAGTGGTTTTATTATGTGTTTGGCTGTAGATCCGTGCGCTGTGTGAGGTGCTACGACATCCGCTGGAGGTCTTGCAGGCAGACGGACCTCCTATTGTCGTCGGCACGGACTTTAAAACCGAGACACTCGTCATCGCGTATGTTTAACATCTTTTTTTGTTGACATATACCTTTTTTAATTTTTACACGCAAGTATGCAGACATCGTGATCGGTAGCCGACACAGGGTTCCGTTAAGCACGTTGGGAGATAGCTAGGCGGATTAATGAAATTGGTTTTCAATCGATCGTGATCTGTAATAGATTGTCTGATGTGGAATCGATTTAAACACATGGCGATAGTCTAGGATACCAAGGCAACCAAACTAGAGGCACTTTCGCAAGGCTGGAAACGTCTTTGCATCGATTTTTATGCTGACTTTATTATACTTGTAGCCTATTTTATTTATTTTTTATTTATTTAGGCAATTATCCATCATATACAATACATAGCATACTCCTTATATATATATTATGTATTATTATGTATTATGTATTATATATTATATCCAATATATATACAATATTCCTTTGCATTGCAGATACCACAGGCATGCGTATGGGTTGGGAGCACACTATAATTCGACAGTCACTACTGATGACAGCACTCCAGCATCGTGACACTAGTGAGATACGACAACGAGACTATGCATCTCGATTATAACACGCAGTCACAATCGCTCTCCGCATAATAGAGTAGTACCATTTTTAGCTCATCTGACATAGTAGATTGTTGGTATTATTCGATGGTGGACTGTTTGATGCGTTCTTTTTTTTGGACTTTGTATGTGCGTTGATGTTAGGGGATGGCAGCTTGTAGAATCGCATGAGCGTGCGTGCCGTGCGTACGTCAACAGTTGGCACAAATCTTAACCGCTCGACGTACGGTCACGATATTCGGGACGTGGGTGGTATATCCGAAAACGAGTTGGGATGTCGAAGCTGGGGATCAAAGGTCAAAGGTCAAGAGTGTAAAAGAAGGGGGAACATTCCTCCTTAACTTAAGGTATAGGGAGGAAATGCAGAATTGGCAGCACAAATCTAAATGGCTCGACCTAGGCTCGTGAGGTGAGTAGCATCATGGTAGGAAAAGCCATCACTTGGCCGAAATTGAGGTCACAGGTCAAAGGTTAATGGGGCACAGGGCAGGTTTTAGACATTTTCTGAGGACATGGTCTGACGAGCGACTTGAAAAACTTTTTTGTTTCAGGGTGACCTACCATTTTTATGGCTTTATTGAAAGGACCATGAAATGTACATCCGCTGACATGCGAAGAGTAAGTGTCTGAATAACCTTTTGACCCTGAAGGGAGGGTTCAACATGGATTTGTTGACTGTTAACAAAGGACTGAACTGCTTTTGCTATTATTAGAGCCCCTAACCTGTGTGGATGTGATGCTACATTTGCAGTTCAATTGCATAAGACAAAAGTTTGTTGAACAAGGTTGCACTCCTTAAATCATATTATTTTCTAAAGCAGTCTGTATATTAATAGCACCCTGATTGCTAGACGTGGCTACGCGCATCCGAAATGTAGGCAAAACCTGGGCAATCCATTACTGATGGGCATGGGGTGAACTGGCACTTATTCTAATAAAGACATGCACACCCTGGCAATGCAGATGTGTTTATTTATTACTCAGCAGCTGAGCCAAATTGTCGCCTGCCGAATGAATATACTTGGATTTTAGCCTGTACATTTCAGCAACTCAATGGAATTAGGTTACTCTCCTTTCTTGACTTATCACCAATGCACGAAGGTCGATGCCATGTTTGATTATTGATTACACTTGCACGGGCTGCCATCTCGCGGCAACTATAGGCCTAGTGATACATTATGACACAATATATAAGACAGTCGAGGCAGGTATGAAAGTAGGATGGATTGTTAGGGTTTAGTTTTAGTGTTACTATGCTACACAGTTTTGATGATGACGTAGCCGGTTTAGCGATAGAACAGGCTTTCAACCTTTTGCAGAAACGAAAGCCAGTACAGTAACGCAAGCAGATAGCACTGTCGCTGTTGCGGCACTTGTTTTCATTTAACATTTTAACGTAGAGTTGGGAAAAATATTCGCATTATTGCTGGTGTCATCCCAATTCACATACGTGTATGAATAGAGATGTGGCTTCATAGGGAAACACGTTTGTTTTGAATGTTGAACGTGTTGATCAGTGAGTAAATAAATGGAGACAGTTCAGAGATCGTAGCCTCTGGATGGGGCGAGGGGGGGGCAGCTGCTCTCCTCGATCATAGAAAACTAATAAGATAAAAGCTAATAACTGTAAATTAACCGTAAAATAAGTGGAAATCATCATGTAGTCGTCCTGAAACCCTCGCCCCACACTTGCCACACCACGCCATGCAGGTCAACATGGAAGCTGGCATCTCTCCCTTGTCATTACTGACAGACACGAAATTTGGCCTGCCTCCCCACATAATTTGCACACCGTTTATACTTTTGTTGTAAATGTGATGAGCCATAGATTAGGTCATTTTAATTTAAATTCAGGAAATGGAGTGTATGTATTGGCAGAAATGTAGACGCATTAAAATATCTAAATTTAACAACACAATTCGTATATGCATTCATTTGTTGGTAAGCCTATGGCAACTGCTTTCTGTGGTTGGTTGTTTGGTTGTGCTGTCGTTTGCTAATATTAATCAGTATATAGAATGACATAAACTTGATTGTGGTACTCATGCTCAGCTTAATAATACGTTAACATATGTCTTTACTACCCTAGTAATCGTGTAAGTATCAGAATAAAGATCAAGTCTAATGAAATCTCATTTGAATCTTTTCATTCTAAAGCGGTGCTTTGTTTCAAAGTACATCCAACAGAGTTGGCATTTTGAGCACGCACGTATCTTGCTTGACTTGCAACAATTTCTAGGGAGGGCTTGGTCATCTCGTTAGATTGATGGATCAATTACTAATGATAAGAGAAAATAGAAAATTTAGAGGAATTGATAAATGAAAGTGTCAAGTGACACTGTAGCGCACCTTGGTGTGATAGAAGAGGGTGGGGGATATATATAAGCAAGAGTATATGAGAGAGACTCCCATTATATATGGCATATCTCCCATTACATACTCTTGATAAGATATATGCATGTTTTGATGCGAAATAAATGTTTCAGATCTGAAAGTCTGAAATCTTGACGAGAGATGGCGCTACGCCTAAATCATGGCCATTTTGGTTTTCGAATATCGCGCCAAATCAAAACGAATAAAATATTCCAGTCAATTACTGTAACGAAGAATCTAAAACACATATTACACGTATATAGGTATGATTGTAGAGTTGTTGACCAGTTAGAGGAAATAAACGTAATAGGACGTTGTCATCTCTCCCATAGGAGTAACAACTGTTTGTGGGCAGGCCTGCGGCAACTGTACGCGGCTATAGTACTAGAGCTAGGGCTAGCCTTACACATTCACATACCAAATATTTAAACAAAATCGAATGAATTTAGATGGCCATTTTCATTTTTGCCAAAAAGTGGGCGTGGCTCGAAAGTAGGTGCGACTGGCGCGTGCTCCAAAATAGGAAGTTCAAATCTTCTCCATAGGAGTAACAACTGTATTCAATTTGAAACATGTGGGTCAAACGTTCTTGAGTTATCGTTGACCATAGCAGACACTGAAATGCATAGTGAAATTGCCTAAAAAATCTACCTAATTTGCATAATTTAAAAAAAAATCTAAACCTGTGTGATATGTTTTGGGACCAGTCCTCATTCATTCACATACCAGAATGAAACAAAATCCATTGAACTGATCTGACTTATGCCATTTCCATTTTTTGCGCCAAAAAGTGGACGTGGCTCGAATGTAGGTCGACTGCGTGCTCCAAAAATAGGACGTTCAAACCTCTCCCATAGGAGTAACAACTATATGCAATTTTGAAAGATGTCGGTCAAACGGTTCTTGATTTATCGTTGACCGTAGCCAAATGTTGACGGACGAACGGGCGTACGACGGAACGACACCCCATGGGCAATAGCTCATCTGACAATGTCAAGGCGAGCAACAATCACAACAAATGTGTAGGATTTGTTATGACATTTTTCTTACAATAAAATATTTTCACAAACACTTCACTTGTCATGATTTGAAATGCATACATTACACGTAATTACGAAATTAACGATCGACATAACAGCACCCAACTATTTACACCCATCGCATTCACACTTCTCATGTACCTAGTATACACATGTATGAGGTAATCTATTTATAATGTGAATAGCCCATTAACGTTTATGTGGTATAAAGTGGCTACAACGTTTGTTGAAGGGTCTTGATACTATCAGAAGAGAACTCGTGAAAGTAATTCGAATTCATTTTCTTTTGATATAACGAAGATGCGTACAATTAAAAGGTATCCCGCCTCGTAATCTCATTTTCTACGTGAGAAGGATAAAATATTGCATTAGTACTCGAACGCTTCACTACATCCCGACTCACGTCGACTGCCACGTATTTCCGAAATAAATTTTTTTTCTTCGGATTTCCGGTGTCCGAGGCATGGTCAGTCGGTGAACGGAGAGTTGTGGGTGGAACTCTCCGAACTCTGCTGCTTCTCGTGCCGGCTGCCGTGCTTCTCGTGCCGTTCGTGCTTGTGCTTGTGCTTGTGCTTCTTTTTCTTCTTCTTCTTCTTCTCCTTGTGGTGCTTGTGCTTCTCCTCGGACGGCGTCGCCGCGGCGACGGGCGGCGCGGCAGACGCGGTGAACAGCGCCGGCTTCGGACGCTGCTCCTCGTCCGAGTCGAAGTCTGGAACGCCGAAATATTTCTGTTATGCCTTGTCGAAAGAACAATAACTGTAGAAAGAGAATACGCTTAATACAACTTTATTAACTAAAAAAAACCACGGCATTACAGCTGGAGTGTTACAAACCGTCCCTGCGCATACCACGCGCTGCTAGTATAGCAAGTCCCAACACAACGCGAGTGCAACGAATACCTGCTGCGTTGCTGCTTGACCTACATTCTAGAAGCCAAACTTACTATAATGTAACAGCGATAGAAAATAAAGAGTTATTTATATCAATTTCCGCTAGTAACTCAGGTTTTCGCGCGGAATCGGAGCGTGAATCCGAACAGGGACGGGTTTTCGCGCGGAATCGGAGCGTTAAACCGGAACGGGGGACGGGGTTTTGCGCGGAATCGAAGCATGAAATCGGAACGGGGGGACGGGTTAATGGCTCACCAAAGATGTCGAACTTGTGTGGATCCTCGTGCCTGCGCTCGGAGCCGAAGCGTGGCCTCGAATCTCCCGAATCCTTGCTCGGCTGCTGCTACAGAACACAGAAACGACAGTGCGTCATATATATATATATATATATATACATATATATATATATATATATATATATGAGGACGGATATGTTGTGTATGTAGGCGGACGACAACTGCAACCACTGCTGTAGTCGTGTCGACTTTGGTTGTCAGATGTTAGTTAGGTCGGTTGAAATATAATAATAACAGAATTTTTGGTCTATTGTTTGGCGACAAAAGCAACCACTGATGTAGTCATGCAGTTTGCACATGCGTAGCTGCAGGCATATGGTTACAAAACCTATGGTTATTAAGACGTTAAACGTTCTAATGCAAGATGCTAGTCAAGTAGGTTGATGAAGTAATAAAATATAGAATTTTTGATCCTTGGTTCACCTGATTCCCACTATCTGGTCCCCCCATTCTGCCCGCTTTCTTGTCTCAGTGTCGGCTAATCAATGATTCTGTTGTTATCTGCTGTACGCCGGAACAGACGCACGCGTGCGCGCGCGCACTTGTTTCGAGCGTACCTTAGAAGCCATGGCGATCTTGAGGAAAGAAGAGGGCAGCACGCTGCGGGCGGTCGTCTTCACCTTCAGCGGCGGCCCGTCTCCCTCAATGGACGAGTCGGAATCCACCACCTGCACATCAGAGTTCGACTTATGATATCGACACTCACAAGCAACAGCTGCGCATTTGCGATGCGATATTCCTTAAAACAGCTAAGATGGTTGAATACAGTCACACCCGTATATCGAGTTTACTCGAGAGAAACCCCAAGTGTCCTTTATATGCAGGTGGCCGTTTTACAGAGGTGGTTTCACTGTATAACAACCATTGGGGGGAAATGCCAAGAATGGCCTTTATAGACAGGTGCTCGTTCTAAAGAGGTATCCACTAACACAGAGTCTACTGTATGAAGAAGATGTGTAATGATCACTCCTGTATTTTTCACCCTACCTTCACAGGAGTTGCGTATCTGGCCTCGTCAAACCTCCCTCCATCCTCGTCGTCCTCTGGAATGCCCTTCTCGGGCATTTTCCCTCCTTCCTGCGCATCCATGGTAGATACCTGACCTTCTCCTTCCTGCTCTGCATGTTTATCCTTTTCCTCTTCCTCCCTCTGAAAATGAACTGCGGAATTCAGGACCTTTCCGATAAAATGCCTGCAATGCATTAGCGTAACAAACGCAGACGCGCTATGACGATCGAACGCAAGCGCTGCATCTTTTATCAAAGCAAAATCCAGATTTCTCACTATCGATGCCCCGTGATCCGTGTATCCATGCGTATCGTGCCCGATGGAGATGTCTATTCGCGTCAGTGATTGTGCCTGGAGCAGAAAGCAATTAACCAAGCGACATGGAGGAAATTCACAAATGACCTGTGTCTCTCAGGAGACTGAATGGGCTAAGAATAAAGAAGTAAGAAATACTAAGAAGGCTAAGAAATAAGAAGAAGAAGAATGAAATAAGTTCATTGGATTTCGTTGAAATTATAAATTCATATTTATCTTGTGTTAAATCCAAGAAATTAACTTATTATATTAGATAGCAAGTTAATTTCTCGTATTTAAATTGACTACGTCACGAATTTTCTATGGTGTATATTTGTAAAATGTTTGTTGTAATTTTTTACATGAAAAGTAAGTACTAACGGGACTAAATGTATCTTCAAATTCTTACCTGATAAGATTGTTTCTCAACTAGTTAAAAATCCAAAAAAACCTGGGCAATTTGATATATTGATCATGACATTAAATGCTTCCTATAGGCTATGTATGGGTCACGAGTGTTTGTTCACACCGAACGGAATAGCAAAATAGGAAGTATAATACAGCAAAAGAGAACCACTTACATTTTGTGAAAAAGTGGACGTACTTTTTTTTACTTTTACTATTTTCGGTGACGTAATAACTTTAACACAAGATAAATATGAATTTATAGAAGAAGAAGAAGTTTGCGGCGATCTATCTCGCGCGCGCGCGTCACCTGTTCTTCCTCCTTCACTGGCTCGACGACGACCTCCATCGCTCCGACCTCTATGTCGATCATCTCCTCCGACATGAGGGGGCTGCCGGGCTGCGCCGCGGGGGGCTGCGGCGAGAACCTGTCCTCCTGCGCCACGTCCATCGCTTCCTGCATCGAACACGTCAAATTCGTTTATTAGTCGTAGTAGCGAGTGGCGTCAACAATGCGTTAGGGTAGGTAATCGCTTCTTGCATTTATCCGAAATTCGATTGTTCATCATAGTAACGAGTTGCGTCGACAATATGCATTAGGTTAGGTCATTGCTTCCTGCATTGGACACGTTGTCCAAAATCGTTTGTTAGTTGTCGTAGCGAGTGGCGTCGACAATGCGTTAGGCTAGGTAATGTGAAAAACGCTTCCTGCATTTTCCGAAATTCGTTTGTTAGTTGTCGTAGCGAGTGGCGTCGACAATGCGTTAGGATATGTAATGTGAAAAACGCTTCCTGCATTTTCCGAAATTCGTTTGTTAGTTGAAGTAGGTTTATGTGGTAAGATAAGGTTTATTGAGTAAAGGGAGGGTTCGATTTGAATTCGTCGTCGACAGACATCGACGTTGATCGAATTATTTTCGTGCATTTCTTTAAAAAAGGTCAAACAAGATGGCTGACGAGATGTGCGGCGCTGGGAAAAAGAAACAAGATGGCCGCCGGCGACTCACGTGCACGGCAGCGTAGGAGTAACCATGGTCACCTCCGCCCACGGCGGAGAACGCTTTCGTTTCCCTCTCCCAGCCTCCAGGGGATGTGGCTGTGTCAATGACCTTCTGGGTCAGCGGCGCGTCTGCGGAGTGCGTCAGTGCCGGCTTCGATCGGCCGAACAATACGTGATAGAGGTCGATGAGGTCGCAGCGCAGCCGGGAATCATGGGAAGTCTTACAGCTGCGCAGAAGAAATGTATTCGCGTTGATCATCACCCCAGCTTGACACGTTCTGTGACCTTCAACTACTGTCAAGGTTAACAGCCGTGCTCAGCCCTGCACGGCTTATAATGGATGACTAATACTTGTTACACATTCCAAGTAGAATAATTTTGAGAAGAGGCTATTGAGAGATATCAGAGCAGCTTGTGGTATATTTATTACGATGCTGAGCATAAATATTACATAATACATTACGTGAGTAAGTAAATAAATAATAATATAAATAAATATATGTGATATGTGTGTGCGTGCGTGCGTATATATATACATGCACATTTATTAGCTTACAGTTTAGTATACATTTTATATGTTAGTAGATACAGAAGATGTAAATGTAATTGGAATATGTAAAGTATATGCTGACTGCTGCCCATTTTCTCAGGGATTGTAGGCTGGGCGATTTTTCTCGAATCGATGTAAGGCACCTACTTCATCAGCTTCCACATTCTATCGACAAGACTAGCCGACGCGAGGGGACTGTTGTCTGCCTTCCTGAAGGGAGGGTTGTCGCACAGCATGCGTAGCACCTCGTGTCTGAAGATGGAAATATGGGGACGCTTTAGACACCATGCCAAAATTAAATACAACGTTCACAAGAACGTTTGATTAAACGCACACATCGGAAGGACATGAGAGAAGACTCGCATGTTCTCCAGCACACATATGTATATATATATATATGCATATGTATGTATGTGAACACCAATCAGATCCGTGTTTTCACAATGTTTCCTTCCCACCCGCCACAAACCCAAATTAAAAGAAATTTTTTCGGAACCACAAAAATAGAAGATGTATAACAACGGCCCTATTATACAGGTCGGCGCTAGAAAATACACAACAACGACCCTACTACACAGGTCAACGCGCAGCGACCGGCTGCAAGGCTCCCACCTCACGTAAGGGTCGGGATCCTTCTCGACGATGTCGAGCAGCCAGGACAGCTCGTCGGCGTTGCCGTCGACACGCGTGTAGTCGACGAGCGCGTCCAGAGCGGTCAGCCGCACGTCCACGTACTGACCGTAGCTCGCGTAGCTGCGGAACAACGTCGGGTCGTTCGGCAGGTGACCGTTCTTCTGCGTGACGACAAAAGCACGTACGACGCGTTGTGAACGTGCAACATCGTAAACATACGATGTTGTAAATACACAAAGGTATAACTGTACAATGCTATAAATGCACAAAGGTATAACTGTACAATGCTATAAATGTACATCACAAATATACAATGCTAAAAATGTAAAAATGCTATAACTGTAAAATGGTTCAAATGCACAACATTACAAATGTACAATTTGTAACCAGGTTGAGCACCCAGGTTAGGAGTTATTCGCTTAGGTTATTAGGTTAGGGGAGCGCACTGATGTAACGTTATGAATGTACAATGTAATGAATGTACAATGTCATAAATGTTTAATGTTATAAATGTACAATGTTATAAATGTACAATGTCATGAATGTACAATGTTATAAATGTTTAATGTTATAAATGTACAAAGTCATAAATGTTTAATGTTATAAATGTATGATCCTATAAATATACAACACCATAAATGTGCAATGCTATAAACGTACAACGGTTTAATTGCACAATGTTAAAAATGTTGTATTATAATTCTACAATAAAAAAATTAATGTACAATGCTATAAATGGACAACACTAAGAACGAAAAATGGTTGCGACGTCAAACAACGTACAAACTACAGCGAGCGATACCCAGACGAAAACTAGATCGTTCCGTCCCCTGATCTTGCTCACCTATCAATCGTGCCAAGGCTTCCTTTCCTGTTTTCTCTGCTAAGAGTAAGCAGACCTTCGCCAGTCCACGCGCACGCGCTGCCGCGATTGGGACCCCGGAGCATCCAGGTTATAGGTGGGGTATTCACTTAGGTTATTGGGTTGGGGGAGCGCACTCACCTGCAGCACACGGATGCACTTGAGACAGTTGACGGTGACGACTAGCCGGTAGCATGGCAGCAGCTTCTCCAGGTTCGTGTAGCGCGTGACCTCCTCGAGTAGCAGCTTCATGTCGCTCGACAACATGTCTGCTGTCACCATGCTCCTGTAGAGAGAGAGAGAGAGCGAAGCTCGGTTATTCGCGCACACACACACACACACATATATGCATATATAAGCACACACATCACGCTGCTGTTGACACAGAGAGAGAGAGGCTTGGTTATTCACGCACAAATATATGCATATATAAGCACACACACCATGCTGCTGTTGACACAGAGAGTAGAGAGAGGCTTGGTTATTCACGCACAAATATATGCATATATAAGCACACACACCATGCTGCTGTTGACACAGAGAGAGAGAGGCTTGGTTATTCGCACACAAAAATTCCGTGCAACTCAAATTTCCTTTGTATTCTTTCACGTTCACGTGTGGTTCAGTCTGTAAAATACAGGCGCCCGTTGTCGGAAACGAAATAAGTCTTAACATTAGTCTTGACAGCTTTTTCTCAAAGAAGATTTACAGAATGGTGGGAAAGTTAAGAGTTTCTCATACGCAGTGTATAGATGTCTGGTCTAAGTGAAAAAATTAATCTTTGTTTCCGACAACAAGCGCCTATATAATAATTTACAAAATGAACCACACTTGAATGGAAACAAGTGCCGCAGTGCGACAGGGCTCATCTGGTGTATGGTGTTCTGCTGATAAATTCATTTGTGCATAGCAAGACGTCTTATACATAAGTCTTCTTTATTCTTGTTTGACTTTCGTAGCCAATTGGAACAAATATATCAGCTACACTTTCGCACCCACCTCTAATCTCTATGCATTGCAGACAAATGTGTATTGCAGGTTGG